AAAGAAGGCTCAAACAAATCATGAAAAAAATTAGCAGCACAGATTCTGGAAATATATGTATATATATATATATACGAGTATAAGTGTATTGCGAACTCTGGTCATTGAACCAACATTCCGCAGAAATATCATAAAACTCAGTTGCAACTATAATCTTAAACGAGAAGTCAATATGCCCTACAACTTGCGATAAGATAAAAGTTAGCATACAGCATGCTCTAGTGAAATAGACAGACAAAATCGCAGTATACCAACAATGTAAGGTGGTATGACATGAACTAAATTGCGCTAGGGTGGCAAGCCTCCATGAGAAATGTAACAGGTTTACTTTGAAATAAATGAGAACTGCTGTTTTGATTGGAGAAGGACTGTGAGACACGACGAAGTATAATCACCAGGACTGGTATGTATGTATTCAAGTGTATGGGCGAGGAATATGGAACTGGCGAATTCGAGTTCGGATAAACAAAAAGTAGAGGAAATCAGTTTGTAGGGAAAAAGTGAAACTCTTGGTGAAGAAATTGGTATAGAATGACAGACAAACAATATGAAAGTTAAATAAGCCAGCAGAGTGAATGAGATTGGTATATTATACAAAAATAACGACAGATACAAATGCTAAATTCAAGGCCGCACAACTATACATAAGGAGTAAAAGCTAAGATAAAGAAGCGGAGACGGCTACTTAATCAGATCCAGATAGGCGACAACAAGCGAGATAAAGGGGATATAATATTTTGTCAAAATTTTAGAGCTATATAATATCACATGCGCATGCACAGAAATTATATATATATTTATAAACTCACGAAAACATGCCCCCTTATAAAGAAGTGAACATTAATTTGATTTGTACACAAAGAGATCTAGATAGCAAAAAAATCGATGTTTTATAAATTGGCACCTGTGATAAAATATCCGAATACGAAAGAGGGATACGACCTGATAAGGTTCTTGCTTCACTAGAAAAGGCGACTATTGATGCAGACAGATATAATGTAAAATAAAGGAAAAAAAGAGAGCGTGGAGAAAAAGTAAAGTAGAAGAGAGAGAGACTGGTTTGAAATCAAATAAAAAAGAAGCGAGATGTAAGCACCGGGCGGCTTGGAGTAGCGTCCAAGCCAAACTGAGGTTATAAGGAATATGATAGATGAATAATGCTCGGCGAACATAGAAAGACATAACAAACCGAGACTAGTGAAGTGGAATATGCGGATACAAATTTAGATCATAGATTGAGCTTCCGTGAGAATATGGGTATTTTCCCGATACGAAGTAGGAATAAAGTCAAATAAAAAGTTAATTGGATAGTAAAATCAATAATAATAATAATAATAAGGAAGAGCGGAGCACAGTATAAGTAATAATATTAATAAAGAAAATGAACAAGGAGCGAAAGTGAGGCTGCGTAATGGATAAGCGCATATAGAAATGGGGGTGAGATTTAGGAATAGAATACAAGACAATAAGGTATTTTCATATAGCGTCTATCTGCGCGTCTCAGCGACATTGCAGAGGATCTCGAGGAGGCATCGCAAGAAATAAGGCTTTGACATTTCCCAGAGAATCATTGAGAAGCAAGTCATAAGCACGGAGTATAATACGCTAGCTGAAAAATGAAAGAATACAAAAGTGAAAATGAGCGAAATCCGTCGATATGAAATATTTCTAAGATTATTTCCCAACAGAAGCAAAATGTATATTTAGTAAGATGTAAAGGACTTTCTTATTGACACGTTGCTCAGTCGTAAACTTGTATTGAAGATGACATAATTGACTAACGATGCCGGCGAAACGTCTGGGAATATATCAAGTAAAGAGACCGAAGCTGGAAATCATCATGAATAATATTTTGAAATTATATATTCATGCCCCCAGTTTCGTGATTCGAATGGAAATTTAGGTGGTTAAAAGCTTCTTTAACTACTTATACAGTATATAGATATCTTTAGGAGTGAATATAGGGCACGTGTGTTCAAAAGATCTTTCGAAGGTTATTGTTGAAGTTGTTTAAGAATCATTTCTTGTCAACATTAAGTCTGCGAAATAAGGAAATGATGTATGCTTCCAATGAAAAATTTAAAGCATAGCGAACTAGTTCTGGTTGTTAGTTTGGGACAACCTATGGAGCCCCTAGGGTCCTTAAATTTATTAAGATGCGGTGGTAATATTTGTGATATGTGAAGACAAATACGACGTTCAATGGAAATCATGTCAATGAAGCCACAAGACAATAACTTTGAGGATATGCTCATCTGAACACGCGCTTCTAATGCACATCTACTCAGTTACGATGATACCAGCCGCGCATTAAAAAAACGTAGAAAGCATTCGTAAATTTAGTGGCGGATCGATTGATAATTGGCTAAGTTAGAATGCAAGATTTTATACTAGAAGTAAACTCACTTGAATTGTGAAACCGAGGTCACACATGTTTCTGGTAATAGGTAAGGATGTCCTTAGCTGAACTGGCAATCTCGTGCGCAAAATGAATCAACACATTAACTTCCGGTCGTAAGGTTAGGTCGCATGGTCCAGCCGTATCACTAATCGTAGAACTAAACGAAATTCGCTCACAATGGTCACGAAGGCGTTGTGAGGCCATCACAAGGCCAGAAAGGGCTGTTGCCACAGCTGGCGGTACAGTGGTATTTATGGTGGAATTCATAGTGACATTGGTCGAAGGTGTGGTGGAGGCCGGAAAGAGGTTGACTATGTCATGCACAGCAGAATGGATCAAGCGTGAACAATAAACGAAGTCGCCATGGCGCTTCCCGTTTGCAATCTGGAGGTTATAGAGGCGTGTGAATAGTAAGGCAATGTGGTCTAAACAAACTAAAGTAAAGCAAAATAAACCATTTACTTCTGAAGATCAGGTTTTATTATCGTTAATCATATAAAACTAGGTCTGTCCGACCGACTAAGAATTTAAAGAAATGTCAAAGTAGTCTTTTTTCAGTCATTCATGTTTGAAAGCTGTAGGTCTCTGACAGATTCAAGAGAGGCGAGGGAATATAAAAACAAGTAAGCTTAAACTAAGTATCGCGTCATGATGAAAAAAAATAGGCAGCATTTAAGGAATGGCATATCGGTTAGCATGATGAAATTAGATATAAAAATAGATAATACTCAGAATTCGATGCTAATAAATAAATAGTGGATATAAGTTAAGTGAGATTCATAACTATTTATTAATTTTTCTAAAGAAGTTTTACAGTGCATAAATAAATGGTTCAAAAGCAATCAACAGATATTTATTAGTAAGGCCTGGAACAATGGAAGATAGAGCAAAATATGCCAAATAAAAAGGAAATATATAGGGAAAAGAATATAAATTGTTAAGCCGAGTAAACGATATAAGCCGGAAGTGCTGGAAAGATATGTAATTTGATGCTGGGGCTTTATAAAAAATAAGTGAGGTCGAGTAACGCACAGATCGGAGGTTGAATGTTAAAGAACCTGAATGCTTAAGTAAATTCTTCCTAAAGTTGGTAATAAACCAGGAGCATTTTAACAGAGATAAATAATGAAAGAATGTATAAATCTCGGTGTAGGTCAGCCAATTAACCAAATAGCCTAGATAGCGAATAAAAATGGTTGTAAAAGACAAGAGTAAATAAAATTAGAATAAAAACCAACTTCAAGAAGACTCCGTATCCGAACAATGGTGGATTCGACACCACGGACAACAAGTTCAGAGGATGGAGGAGCTGGTAAGGCATTGCGTCCAGCCTCGGCGGGTTGCAAGCCTGCTTCACTCAAGAACCCTGAAGTTCTGGCAGCTCTGCATTTCTCTCCAACCTCTTCTATCCCCGAATCGCTTCTCAACGGACATCTGTTTCCTCCTGGCGATTCGATATCCACCAAAGTGAGCCAAGAACGTGGTGGCACACGTCCTCCAGCCCCAATGGCTCCACTGCCAGCAGTAGGCGCCATGCGTCCGGCGGCCAGCCGAGGTGAGTCGAGAGGGCCAGGTTTAGCAGGACGTACTCCACTGGGGCTTGTCTCCGAGCTAGTCTCAAAATTAATAGGACTAGATTCAGCATTAGCAGCATTGGTAGCTCTATTTCCTCCTGTCGCGATAAGATCATTCGACAATGAAATATCTGCTGCGTGGCGAGAGAGTTCACTACTGCACGGCTTCCCAGAGGTCTTGGTCACAACAGTAGCGCGGGTAGACGGAGTGGTCACCCCCGAGAGGATAGGAGAAAGTTGAGCGCAAGTGTGGCAAGATGGAATAGAGCAGTGAATCAGATGGGCGCCAGAAATGGAGGTTGCACTGGTGACAGAGGGCACGAGCAGTGGGGCTGGGGACGGAGAACCGGTAGTATTTGGAGAGATATATTGATCTTCAGGGCGAAAAGACGCATGACCTGAGGGTAAAATGGCGAAATAGGATAAACATAGCTATTCGAAATGTCAAGGCTCAATATGTTATTATTATGAAAAGTAAAAACTATTTATTGAGCGAATAGAAATAGCAATGCAAAAATAAAAGAAGTATTACCTTGCGATAAAGCAAGGACTACCATGCATGGTATTCCCAAATTAGTTGTGAATTCAATTTGGCTATATTCAAGTCCCAGCAAAAAAAGTATAAACACGATGTCTAAAAGGCATGATTACAGATTCTAAACATCAACATTTTGCCTTGAGTTCTAAACCCAACTGAAGCCTGGAAATAGGAGTAACTTGGTACTAGTAGCTAAGGAGTCAAATGGATAAAATGAATGGGTGCAAAAGAAAGCCTGTTGTGATCTGACTCAGACTAATGGCAGGCATGGAAAGACCTGATATGGATAAAGCTGAAATAATGTAGTGTAATGCGATATAGATTCAAATGGTACATAAATATATACTATGTATAGAAATAATGATACAAATAGGAGAAGATGACGGGGGACAGTACGACCGAGACAACGTGGCCAAAAGGAAGAGGAACCAAGATTAGATTAGATATAGACGCACCGTGGAGACCCGATATTGATACGAATTCGGCCCGGACAAGGGCCATCTCCTAAAGCCAAGAAATTAAAGTCCTTAAAACGTAGAATGAACGATAAGGTTTTTCAAGGACGTTGCTTGGGTTTCAATGCTGGGTGAGCACGATCTTTCTCAGGCCGAGATCCAATCGACCTTGCCACGAAGTACGTAGAGACATAGACAATGGACGCTAAAAAAGAGGTGTCAAAAGAAGCGATAAATGTTGTAACGACGTGTGGAGCCGCGTTGTAACCCGTCTTCACTGGATGTTGTTTTCTGTCCATTATCGCCGTGACATCTTATCCGTCAAAATACTATTCTGTCGTTCCTTTGAACGTGTTTGCGTTACCAGGTTAATCCGCTCCTGTCTATTGAAAAGGTTGTTCCTAGGTCTTGTCTAATTGATGGACCAAATTTTCCAAATAGAATTAGGCGATTCATTCAGAGGGCATCTCAGGATTTAGTTAATATTAGGACCCAAGAAAACAGTATAACCCTACACTCCTTGATAAAGAGGAAAACCAGATTACGCCAATCATTGGCGAGTACTCTTAGCTTGGAAGATTTCTCTAACTTAAAAAGAATGGTGTACAGGCTGTATGATATAGTTTTTAAACAGGTTAGATATAGGCATAATAAGCTCAGGAAATTGGGTATATGAATCAGGGCAAAAGCTAATCAAAATACATCTATAAAAGACGTTAAGGAGCAAAGAATTGTTGGTGAGAAAGTGGTTAACCTGTCCAAAACAGCATTGGATGTTACCACCGAAGAATTGCTATTGAAAGGTTTGAACTTTGCTTTGCAAAGCAGTAAGGATAATAAGGAGATCCCGATGGAACTCATAAGTTTTACCGACCCTCTTCCAGAAGAGACCGGAAGTGATGTTGAATTACGAATCGTTCCTTTAATTGATTGCCAAGTAGAAATAACACCCAGGAATAAGAGTGAAAAACTTTATAAGGAAACCTGGATGATGAAAATAAAATGGTGTTGAGGACAGACAAAGGAGGAGCAGTGATAGTTATGGATAGGATAACTATGTAGAAAAAACGATACAGGCTTTGAATGATAATATCACATATAAGGTAATCAGTAGGGATCCTACAGAAACCCTTACGTCTAAACTCAGGGGTTGCCTGCAGCATTGTGTAGCAAACGAGGAACTGGAGAAGTGGAAGATGAACACACTTCTCCGTATGCATATGGTCTGCCCAAAATACATAAAGATCGAGTGCCACCTAGAATTATTGTCAATAATAAAGGAAGTGTAACGCATAGAACATCATGATTTATTTGTAAACCGGTAAAGCAAATCTCCGGGACGTGGAAGGTTTTAGTGAAGAATTCTAATGAATTCGTTAAATTAGTCGAATAACAAAGGATAGAAAGTGGGAATTCGCTGGTAAGTCTTGATGTTGAATCTATGCACACTAACATTCCTGTAGATGTCATACAGGTCCTGCAATCCACATGCGGAGTTTAATGAGCACTAAGTTAGGTAAAGGGTCAATAATGAGACTGACAAACCTAGAGATAAACTGTACATATTTTACCTTTAATGGTTCACTGTACGAACAAACAAGAGGTTTGGGTATGGGATAATGGTTGTCACCAATTTTAGCAAATAATTACATGGCTCAATTTGAGGGACGCTTAATTCAGGAGGCACTTTAATTCCCAACTTATTAGTTCGCAATATGGACAACTACTTTGCTATTTGGCAAGATGGCAAAGAAAACCTGGAGACATGAATACCAAGATGGTGTGGCCTCTTGTATAGTCGCAGTCTCCTTTCGATTTATAGAAGTGGGTTGACCTCATTGCTGTTGACAACAAGACCAAGTTGCGACGAGGTCAACCCACTTCTAAAAACCTGGAGAAATTATTAGATAGATGAACAGGATCGATGGGAAGACGAAATTCACCATCGAGTTAGAAAAGGTGGTTAACCTTTTCTTGACGTACTACTAGCAAAAAATGGACCCGATTAGATATAGATGAGTATAGGAAACCCGCAAATGCAGATTTCCTTTTAAATTTCTTGTCCAAACAAGCTAATGGGGTTTAAGTAGGTGTTATGAAGTTTAAGATAGTAAGGAGCCTGCGTCTGGCAGATGTTAAGCATCGGGAATAGGAATTGAGAAGATTAAGGAGAAGTCTGGTTGAGAATAATGATCAAGGAGGGCTAATTGACAATTATTTTAGAATTTTGTCAAATAAAATAAAAAGAAACACATATATGTGGCTATATAAAAAGATAGGTCAATCTACAAGAATCATTATGCAGCCATTGTGCAATCTGTCAAAGAAGATAAGCTAATTACAGAGGAGGTGAGACATTAGGATCATTTAAAAAGAAAAAATGAAACTTTCCTCGGTATTGCCTTCTTTTCGAGAATACTCTGAACCGATATCCAGATTGGGATGCTACAAGATTTTGTGTACATGTGGTAGTGCCTGTGTGGGAGAGACCTGTCGGCCCATACATAAGAGGTTATCCAAACACAAAAAAGCCTGCAAGGATATGTGGGTCCAAAATTCGGAATTGGCCGAACACATGGCTCGCACAGGATACCAGATAGATTGGTATAATGCCAAACGCTTAGCTCAATATGGAGACTATACCAAACAATAGGCGAAAGATTAGGAAGGCGATAGAAATCCACAAAACAACCAACACCCTAAATAAAAGGAATGAGTGTAGGAAGTCAAGTGGAAACTGCTTGTGGATATTTGATAGGTTTAGAGAGAGGGAGAAAGAGAAGTATCAACGAGCAAGAGGCTTGATTAGGCTGGAATTTGGTTTTGGCTCTAACATTACATTCATTTCAAGAGCAATGCCCTCACACAGCACGTGTGCAATGGGACGCAATCACATGCGGTAACATTGCAGGATCAAAGACATAAAAGTTATAGGGGAGAATGCAGCTGTTCGGTTTTAATTGCACCCATTTCATAATTCATCTGTAACCACTTCACATGTCATCCGCAACCACTTAACTCAACTTATGAGCAAATATATAGGCAAGACATAGGACATCCAACCAAAAAATGAGATGCATTCGTGGACAAAGTTGGAATATAAAAAGGAAGAAGGTTTGAAGTGAGCAACCTTTCTTGCCTTGGTGTTTTTGTTGAATTATCCTTAGACACGGTTTCCTGCTCTGACGATGTCCGTCACATGACGGACGAAAGCTCAGCAAGGATTCATCTGGGTCGCAGGGCGGTGGGCCGAAGACGAATTCGCATAAATCTACAATCGCAACTCCAAGGCAACCCCTCCACAGCCCCCGGTGGAACCAACTTATGAATCCATTCCACTCGCATCTTCAAACTAAATTAACGGTACTCCAACATCAATCTATTAAGAGATTCTTCAAAACCCACTTTATCTACACATCGTCTAAAATAGTTTTTTCGTAACATAAGGAAAAATTTAACCCCTTCTTCAGCAGGTCCGTGGTTTCCGAATAAGGAGAGGTAAAGGATAAATTCACTACCTAATCCCAATAGTAATTTGGAGCATTGGGTACCGTCAATATAGAAGTGTCATAATTTGCTCGGATAGGCTCTTTGCGACTTCTGATAAGTCACGGATCGGAATGAGGATCGTGTCTAAGTCTAAACTTAATCTTTATGGTGGTAGTCTGACCTTGTTTTGGCAACTTGGTCATACTGGTAGGAAGACTTAGAGTCCATTGCATGCACGATAATTTCCAAAGTCGGACCGTTGACGTGGTACATTCCCAGACGTCAGTGAGTTTGGCTATTCTTAGCACCACACTACATCTCGTCAAAAAGACCAAGTTGCGAAAACGAGGTCAAACTACTTCTACTACTACTACCACAACAAACAATGTATTGTCATTCTTAGCGCTACACTATAATTCGTCAGATACAAGTCTTGTCGCTTTGACAACTTGTAATGTAGTGCTAAAGGTGGCAAGGTTTATTGACGATGAAGATGAAACGTCTTGGAATGTATTAAATCCACGTTCCGACAGTGGAAATTATCATGGATATTATGGTAAAGGGCTTATGACAAGATGCATTAATCTATGTTCCTCTAATAAAACGACCAATTTGCAAAAACGAGACAAAACCATTTCCATACAACAAAAAGAAACCATGACCATACTAAGGATTATACCATCTTGTTTGCTGTATTTTATTCTATGCGACGCTGATGTTGAATTGTCTCTGTGGTCCTTACAAGTCTGAGCAACATTTGGAGGTGGAGAAGTAAGACGAATAATTGCTACGAGGCGAGGCGTATAAATGCCGCACTCAGATTATGTCTACTCGTGCAGAGTATGAGCCTAGGAGTCATCCAACGAAATAATTATTCGGGTCTACGAGGGTTGATGTGAAGTCGAGTTGGAAAGAGCGGTTTAAGCGCAATTACCTTATTGACACAAAGGAAAATCAACGTACTTCAATTGGGCTACAATCACAAACAGCCATGCTTTTAAACTAACATAACTATCAATCATTACAATTTACAAGTATCGTTTAATCATGCAGTCAGTACGTTTTTTCTTTAGGCTTCCTGGAGGTTAATTGCTTCAAAGATACACCAGTTTCGAG